ACTGGCCATCATTTATACCTACACCTACATCTGGTTCTATTATTTCATAGGCTCTGTTATTTTAGCAATTATTCAGTAGAGGTACTTAGACAGGAAAATCAGGTTTTATTATTTTGATTTTCCTATAACTGTAACTGAACAATCCAGCAAATTGAAGTAACTCTTAAAAGGCAGCGTTTTTTCCTAGGGCAAATGATGCATCTAAGGGAGCTGGAAGAGCTGAGAACCATCATACTAATACCGGTAAGAGAACTAGAAACATTCGTGAATTCTGGATATTAGGATTCTAAGATGATCTATCCAATTATGGACACTATGTTTTAAGGATTCAGAACACTATTAGAGAAAGAGCAAGGATGATGTTAAATAAGGAAGCTGGAAATAAGTCCTATAAAATATAAAAAGATCTTGGTATGGTTAGCCACCAAAAAAAATCAGTTTTCAAATATGCGAAATCATGCCACAAAGAAAGTCAAGACCTATTTTCTCTCATTCCATAAGCAGGACAATCAATTGATGTTACAGGATGACAGATTCTGACAGTAAGTTAAAAAATATATATTTCTAGCAATCAGATGATCAACAGCTGACTGGCCTACATCAGAGGTCCCCAACCGTTTGGCCAGGGACCAGTTACGTGGAAAGGTTTTTCCGTGGACCAGGGAGTGTGTGGTTGTGTGTGCTGTCTGCATCCCATGGATGGGGCTTTGTTTGTGCGGACCAGTTGGTGGCATGCTGTTGCCCGGTAGCGGTCCACGGACCAGGGGTTGGGGATCCCTAGCCTACATTACCTTGATGGCTTAAATGGTTCCTTCCAATTCTATTATTCTAAGAGAGCTTAATAAACTTTTCTGCCATTTTGTATCGACAGGTACATTACATTTCACCTCAGAGATACAAATCATGGACTAAAGAATTTACTAAATACCAAAAGATTAATCTTTCAAATGAAAGGAACTGGACAAAGAAATGGGAAACATGCACTCAGGAAAGAAAAAACACGCAAAGAAGGTAGTTTTTATTTACCAGTAGAAATACAATACTTAAAGAGGTTTCTAACCATTAAAGACAGCTGGGAATTCTTATTTGGTTCACATCTTAGTTAATCTAACTTTCACTTCTCTGACTAAAATGTGTAATAAAATACCATTATTCTTTAGAATGCACATTTCTTCCATTTTTGCAATACAGCTTGCATTCAAAATTTGGGTGAAAAATATATGAATATATTTGAAACTAACATTTTGAGAGTATAAATATGTTTCTCCAACTAAGTGCAAATGAAGTGTAACTGAGTCATAATCGCTGACTGCTGAGGGCCTTCCTAGTTCATATGTACATCCACACAAAGCAATTCAATTGGGTTTGGTACTGCAATAAATCAGCAAATACATGGCTTTGCTAAAATTTAGTGAAATTGTTGCTACAAAGCATTCCTCAATGATCTTCGCAGCCCTAATACTTAAAATGTTATAAAGAATTGCATACAATTTTGACAGTTTTAACAGGATTCGTTTCAACATAATTTTGAATCTATGTACATCTACAACTTCTACTGAAATTAACACAGCTTAAACCCAAATGTTTAAGAGAAGCAAAGCCATAATTCTGGTCCTGAACTCATGTATTTGCATTGACTCTTCACTAGAAGAGCAATGATACAGTCAGTATTCAGTAGAATAACAGCAGCACTGTATATAGACCTACTAGAATATTAAAAAAAATGGAAAAAGATTAGGCCAAAAGACTATCCAGTCAGATATTTTATGCAAAAAGCTATATTTTACAATAGTGGCATTCTCCCCTATTCTCCTATTGTAGATGAGAGCTGTTTCCATAATTCCTTTTTAAATAGGAAAAACTACTTCAAGAAAAGGATCAAAGTCAGAGAATAAGGAGTGGAAATGAGTATTTAATCTTTTCTCTGCCTGTCAGTTCTTTGCTATAAATAACCTTAAATTACCTGAATTCTAAATGTAAGCAATTATGCACATGGAATACTTGAGCAGACAGGGAAGTTGATTACACTTCGGGAGAAAGACCAATAACATTCTTGTACTATAGTAGACAGTTATGGAAATGCAAACCATTGATAAACTGGTTAGGTCCATGAATACATACAGATAAGTTACACTTCATCAAGTATTATATTTAGATGCTTTCTCAGAATCTCATCCTCCTTTTGTATTTGATGGATGGCACGTTCATGAGGCACTGACCTATCAAATGTGTGGTACAAAACTTAAGATCTTATTGGCATGCACCTTCAAGCATTTTCCTTGGTTTAAACATCAATTTCTTATATAAATGGTAACCTTGCTGCATTACAAACTTTAGTCAATTTATATCTGGAAGTATCTAAACACAATGCAATAAGTTAAACAGGCTTAAACAATAAAAACTATTATTCAATTCTTTACCAATCTTTAATCAACATTTATACAGTCTTCACCAAGCACAATACAAATTGCCAGGTGCTAAACGGCATGGTAGTTAAGAGTGATACCATGTGATATCAACTTAAGGGGTCGGTTCCAGGTGTGGTCTTTAAGCAAATCATCGCAGGTTACTAAGAGTGACATCATATGACTGCATCCTTTAAGCTTCCCTGTTGATTTTGCCTGCCGAAAGTCAGCTGTGAATGTCACAATGGAAATCATGTAGCCATGGGATACTGTGACTTCATAAATGTGAACTGGTTGCCAAGGGCCCAGATCACAATCATGTGACCATGGGGATATGACAGCCACAACTTCAAACACCAATCATAAGATTTGTTTTTCAATGCCATTGTACATTATCTTCAAATAATCACTGAACAAGTGGTCAGCAAGTGGGGACTACCTGTAAACTATCATTGTTAGTGAAAAAATCTTTTAAAATAAGTACGTACTGTCTCTTATTACAAAGGGATATCAAAGGTCTGAATCTCACCAGCATATATATTCTACTATTTCTTAATTCCATAAATGACTTAAAGCTGCAAGTCATAGTTATATTAGCAATGCATCTACACTGAGCTTGGCTGATGATGGGTTCATCTATGTTAGGGGTGTCAAACTGCCTTCATGCTGAAACCACACCTACCCCATTGCCGGCAATGGGAAAAAAGTCACAATATGTCACAACACGTCACGTGACTGTGCAAGTTTGACACCCCTGATCTATGTTTTCTTTGCAACAGAAAGGAAGTTGTTTGCTTCTACATTCTTTCAGAATGCTTTTTCAACTTCCCTGCTTAAAGTTAAATATTGTTGTTCCAATTCCTGCTTCATTATAGAATTAGAAGGAATGAAACCTACCAAAAGTTATATTTGTGAGCTAGCATTTACACTTTTTTCCAAACAGCAGCCAACAAGTCAACTAATTTTAAAAACAAATTCAAAAGATAGGCAGCACATGGCTGACAATGACCCTCCACAAAACAAGAAATATCTAAATCTAGGATTCCTTACAAAAATAAAAAAATATTTAAAAGTATTTGATAGTATAGATATTAAGCTATTTAAAGCCAGTTAAAGAACTATCCAACCAAACATATTCACGGATTTCCATTCATCCCACTTTCCACTGGTGGTAGTAAGCAACTCTATAATTTTATTTCTTATAATTAGTAGAATACAAGAATCTTTTTAAAAATTACAATGATCCCCAGACAGAAACACTTATTAAGACATATATTCATTTTTATCACCTGTGGTAAAGAACAAATTCCTTTGAAAATACATAACAAAACCAAGAATTTTAAACCCAATTCATTTGTTTAAGTCTGGTTAACTGTATAGGCTCCTCTGACAAACTCTAACAATGAGTACCTGCAGTTAGAACTGCAGAGTAAAAAGTGCATTAAGTGCAAACAGAAATGCTGAAAGAGAAAGCATAATTAACAATAGTATTTATTTCTTAGTCCTTTTCGACCAATCATGAAAACCTAATTTCTAGACATGTGGTGAGCTCCCGAATTTCGCAAATTATTAAGCAGTATCGGATAGGTACCCTTCTAGAACGAATTTAAAACTGACCTCATCCCAGCGTCATCAAAAATAACTGGGAACATCCAATGGCATTTCACACATCATGGCTGAGCAAGAGATTCATTTTGCACGCAACCCCTCCACACGCTGTATCCACACTAGGCAAGTGTAATCTCACCAAAGCTTCCCACGCCTACAAACTTCACCCGCATCGTTAGAAAGCTTTTCACACACTGTTGCCACGAGACACAGGGCAGAAATGGAAAATGCGGGATCGACCCAGGACCTTCATCCTCCCCGGGGGGAGTAGTATGCAAAGGTGCGGGTATCACAACGAGAGGATAGGAATTCCATTTATTTAGTGAAATACTGGACTATAAGGCATTGTTCTCAAGAGTGGGATGTCACTCCATTTGCTTTTTTTAATAGAAGGAAAACTACACGCATTCGGTCTTCAGAATACAGGTTTACACCTTGGAGAAGACTTGCCTGCATTCTCCTTGGGTCTCCCGCACACGCTTCCCCATCGCCCGCCGAAAATACTCCTGTTGCTACCCCAAGTTTCTGCGCGCAGCCCTTCCAACTGGCCGGCCGCGGCCTCCCTGGCCTCCCCCCCGGCCACGCCCTCCCTGTGCCTCCCCAGCCCCGAGGCGGCAGCCCCTACAACTCCGCACCCCCCGAATCCTCCCCGCGGCTCCGCGCCCTCCCTTCCCCACGGCACTGCAGCAACCTCCCTCTTTCTCTGCCGTCTCCAGCGGCTACAGCGCAGGTCTGCCACCCCGGGTGCCTCCCCGCCCCATCCACGCCGCAAGAGGCGACATAAAAATCTCCTTAACGACCGCGGCCGACGCCACAGGCCCCGACGCCGACCCCGGTCCTTCTCGGGGCCCGCCCGCGCCCACCTTCGGCCCCGGCCGTCTCTCCTGCGGAGGGCGGCCCTTCCACTCCAGCTTCCCCGGCATCGCTTCCACCCCATTCATCGGTTTGCTCTCCTCTACCTCCTCCCCTCCCCCTTCCCCGGCTCACCATCGCTGCGCTTGATCTCCACGTAGATCCCTATCTGGATCTTGCCGAAGTTGGCCGTTGCCATCGCGTCATCGAGTGAAAGGGAGGGGGAGACACCGAAGATGAGGCGGCGAGGCGGGGGGGCGGCCGGCTGAAGCAAAAGGAGAAGCGGGAGGGGCGGCGGGAAAGAGGCGGCGGCGGCGGCGGCCACGGCAGTTTCTACGGGAAAAGGGGAGGGGGGAAAGGAAGGAGGAGGAGTAGAAAAAGGCGCCGGCCGGATACAACAGTCGCCGGGAGCCGGTGCCGCTGCGCACACAATGGAGGCGTCACGGCAGGATCGGTTGAGAGAGTGGGAGGAGCAGAGGCGGGCGGCGGGCTTTCAGAGTTTGGCGTGGGGCGCCGCCGAGGCCGCCGTCGCCGCCCGCCAGCTTCCAGGCGCTTCCTCGGCGGTGCTTTCTGTGCTGACTACGGCGCCGCTGAGCGGGCGGGGGACGCTACTCTCCGCCTCCTGAACTCCAGCCCCTGCTTCGCTTCCTCGTCGGTAGCGTGTTATGGTTTACGAGGAAGTCTATCCGACCAGGTGCATTTGGGGCCTTGGGCCTTCGAACCGACTTCTGGGGTGCGGAGTTGAGGTTACTACGCTCCCCGTTTTGCAGAGGAGGCCGCGAGAGTGCGGGGAGCCGGGCAGCAGCCCGATAGGAAGGCGGGTTCAGTTCTCGTTCTGTCCGTGGTTACCTCATGTGGGATTTGATGCCCTGAATGAAAAAGAAGCCCTTTCATTAAAGCATTGTCATCCCAACTCTTACTTGTCATTCTTCCAAAGGGTCGTATCAAGTTGAGCCTATATACTATATTTAAAATGCTGAAACCCCACTTGCCTCTTAATAGCATAAGCCTGTTACCTTCCCAGAAATTATGTGAGGTAGTTTATTTTGAGACTAGTTTTGGGCTAAACCCCGTCTAGAGCCGCTGTTACAACTTTTAAATTGTGCTTGCTTAAGATGTCTGATCCCTCACGTTTTCTCAAGTCATTTTATCACTTCCAGACATCAATAGAATACAGTTCGTGTATTGAGTTAGTCCTAGGTTTTATATGGAAAGCTAAAATTCTTGAAGGTTTTTTTTCCCCTTTTGGTTAAAATTGATTTTTTTAAAAAATAAGATCCATGGGGAAATTGTCAGGATGTGCACCACAACATCCAGGAATGTGTATTCACCCCAATACTTTGGCTTCCCATAAGGCTGCCACAAATGAAAACTGCAACATTAGGAAAAATTCCTGATGGAATTTGATCTTTCTTAGAAAGAAAATGGGTACATTGATTAAACCTCCCCCTCCCCTAATATGCTGTTTAGGTTATGCAAAAGCCTGGAAGAATTATTTTAATCTGGGGTGTTGTGGAACCTTAATTTTGGAATTTAGGCACGATACTGTATACACTAAAGTACTGGCATTAAAAAAAAATGATTATGTTAAATTCACAGTCTAACTATCCTTGTATTTTACAGCACACAAACTAATCTGAGTTAGCATTCTTCCTGAGTCCATACTCTAAAATATAGCAAAAGTATAACATAGCAAGCTGGACTGTACACTCATTTCTTCAGTGGATTATTTATTTTATTCTATTTATATGGCTCCTCTTATCTCATAGCAACTCTGGCCAGCAAGAACAATAAAAACATCAATATAAGAACAAACAATTAAAAAAAACAGAAGCAAACAACAGCAACTGATGATAAATTGTCAGCGGTAAGCTAATAGCACCTCACAGGCTCAATGACCTCCTGACCCTCATGCTTGAGGACAGCCAAATCTTAAGAGCTTACTGAAAGGCCAGCAAGATTATGGTGAAACTAATCTCAGGTGGAGTAGTGCTAAGGCACTAAAACAGGGAAGGCATACTTACTGGTTCACACTGGATGACACTCTTTAATCAATGGGCAATGGGATACATAGCAATTTTACTGCACCATCCAACCACTGTACTGATATAATTAGGGAGTCAGACTTTGTATTGTCTCAACAATGTTGATTTGTAATGTCACCTCTTATTTAAGGATGTTTCAAACCACTCTGAAAAGGAAAAGACTGTCAGCACTTGGGCTGTCTCTTTTTATGACCAACTTAAACAGAAATAATGAAACATTACAGTCTATATATCAAGAAAACTGGACAGTAATTTTGGTTGGCACACTAAATATAAATTAAAAATAATTGGGTAATGTTACAAAATGGTTAAAGGAAATGGACTCCACATAAGGTTTATTCAGATACTATAAAGTATAATGTAATATAAAATAAAAAATTATGAAACTATATAAACATAATTTATTCCCAATCTTCCTATGGGAAAAAACTCTTGATTTCATAATCATGTCCTCATCTTTTTTTAGTAATAATATGGAAGTGGCTTACCATTGTCATAAACATACTAGCTATGGTATTTCCTAGTAGTCTTCTGTCCAAATACTAACCAGATCCAACCATGTTTAACTTTCCAAGTTTAATCAAGGTTACTTAGGTACTGCCACCTACATGGGTTTCCTTTAGAACAAGAGTGGTAAACTGCCGACCTGCGGGCCAAATGCATCACGCCAGAACCGTGCGTACCCCATTGCCAGCAATGGGAAAAAAGTCACGATATGTCACGACGTCATGTGACATCGCGAGTTTGACACTCGTGCTTTAGAAGCACACTTCAAATGAGCATTTTCCAAGAAATGTTGATTTATAGGGGAGAAAAATCCAGTTAACAACCTGCAACAATTTTGTTTAATAAATGTAGTGGTAGTGGGGAAAAAAATAAATTCAAAAGCTTCTTTTTAGAGGTCACCACCCCACTTTGTTTTAAGGTTTATTCTGGCCATGAGAGTAATATTTCAATGTTTCTTAGCAAATTCTTGAAAAGAATGGATCAGGGAAGTTCTTATTGCGCTTGTATATCTTATTTAAAGGGGAAATGGATTTAGACCCATGAACTTGTTCCAAAAATCTTAAAAGAAAATAAACAATTTAAAGTTACTTTTGAAGTTTTTAAAAAGAGCATCTATCATCTAAATGCATTAAATGCATACCAGGCATGTTTATGAAATAGTGATTATTTGTGGAAATGTTTGGCTTATCCGTCCTTTTAATGTATCTTCCAATTTGACTCAGTGTTTGTCTCTGACCAAGCCATTAATAAAATATTAAATAGGACTGGCGAAGATCTTTCCAAAGAGGACAGGACCTAAATTGTTTAAACCTCTCAGCCTCCCTATTTGGGAGAATGATTGTTGAATTTTAGCAAGATAATGGCAGCCTCTGCTGAAGAAAAATTACATTCAGTATGTCTAGAAAGTCCTTTTGACAATTTGATGATTTTAGTAAGTAAGCAAATATCTACATTCTCTAGCACATCCACATTCCTTTGTTCCTATTTGGAAGAAAGACAGGATATAAATCTAACAAAAAGTCCAAACTTGACACTGAACTGAAATCTTGCATTTTCCATAATACTTAACTTTTTTTTTCATGTACTAGGATATAATTTTATTTCCCTTCTTTCAAATCTTGATGTCTTAAAGAATTAGAAATTAAAGTACTATAATTAGAAGTTGATCTTGTTCAAGTATTAATCATATTTTACCCAAGGCAGAAACAGCTTCTTATCTTTCTGGTGGAGAAAAGCATCCTGTTGCATTTCATCCATTATGATAATCTTTGACCATTTATTGAGCCAGTCACTCTTTCTCAGCCCAATTCATAGGGTAGCTGTTGTGGGAGAAATAGGAGGAAGGTTGCTGCCTTGAGTTATTTCTAAAAATAATAAAGGTGGGATATAAATAAAGTAAAATTAAATGTAATAGGTAGGAGAGTATTGGCCCACTGGATATTACCACAGGGTATTTCAGCAGGAAAGGGAATTCTCAGGTAATTTTTGCCCAGGTAGGGTAAAGATAGCCTGCAATTGAAAAGAGAGTTTCTATTTCATTTTGTCAAAACCACAAGAAGAAACTTTTAACATTCAGGCAAGATATCTCCAAGACCTGTATGTCAGCTTATGCAAACATTTCCAATATGTTTTCCATCCTGTGATTAAGGCTTATAAAATTGCAGATCTTGTTTTAAGGTAAGAAAAGAAGTACTTACCAAGTAAGAGTTATGCTAATTTGAACTTCCTGTTCAAGCCAAAAGAAGGGTTGTTTTATTCACATACGTACATGCATTTTATTGAGACACTTGATTAAGTGTTAATTCCAGTTTTTCTCATGCTGATGTTGCTAAATCAGTACTGTAACACTTTTTATCAGAATAATTATTGACAATATCCTATCGCTAATCTTTATGTTTAAAAATCTCCTCTTTTCTATTTTCCCTCAGACTAAGAAGAAAAAGTAGGGAAACCTTTCTTCTGTCTGATCCTTTACTGATAGTTGCCCAAATCCTGTAGTGAATATTTGTTTTTTTAATTTGCAAATTCCCTAGGGCCTAGGGAATGTGTAAAAATGGCCTTCAATTATCCAGCAGGTCAGAACAGAAGAATTAGAATTCCTGCTCAGTTGAGCAATGTTTTTCTCTCATTCTATCCTGTTTTCTTTAATGAAAAGAAGCTAAGCCATTTTCCACTATATTAGCCAGCAAAAAAGATCCAACACTGTTCATAACATTGTTCTTTTTCTGTTTCTTTCTCTTGTTAACCAAAAATCATTTTCGCCTTTCTCGTATAGAAAGCAGCCTTTATTCTCCACCTAAGCTACATCCAATGCCTCCATTTTAGCATTGATATGTGTGAATGCTACATTTTAAAATTTCTTACCTTTGCTGTGGCAAGCAGCTTTAAAACTACATTTTATTTTTCTGCTTTTCCTGTCAGTGGCTGAATTCTCTTCATATATTTCCATTAAAGTAAATTGTGTCTTAAAATCCTCTGCTTCCCATCTTTATTTAAACTCACTCTTTCCCTTAATAAATGCAAAGTATTGAATCTCTCTGAAACTCTTAACTCAGTATGATATGCTACTAGTCTCAGCTATTGTTCAATACATCTTATTATTTATTATATTTCCAATTTGTGGTTGTTTTAGTGCTGCCATGCTGCCCAGCCACTGCCCAGAGTATCAGTA